TAGAATTAATATATTGCAAAAATTGAAATTAACTTAATTTTCCATAAAAGCTTTTATGCTGTTACGGTTTATTATAATAAACGAATTATCTAATTTTAATTTATTGTCATTATTCGTGTTAAATTTATGGTTCACATAAATTAACTCAGTCTAAACACAAACCAATTATAACTAGTTAATTATATCTTTAAATATATTAATATAAAATTGAAACAGAAACCTAGTTTTTTATTGTAATATATCTAGTTATGAGATTCGATAGCAATAACTATAGCAATACATTTAACATAATTTAAACCATAATAAAACCTTTTTAATGAATTATGATAAAAGTTTCAGTTGATTTCCTATCACCGGTACTATGTATCCACCAAATTAAAAATATTTAATAATTTCTAATGGATTTATAGGAATTTATTAATTTTTATAAGCTAAATTTCATTTGATGAAATATTTATAATTTAAGTATTTCCCCAAAAATTCCAATTAACACTTTAAACACTGATTAAGGTTTTTAATCGAAGTAATAAAATGCTTAGGAATTTCACAATTATTGTTAATTAATTTTTTTATTTATATTTTAATTAATCGGAGTTCAATTTTTTTACGAATTCTGATTTTGAAATTTGTTTTGATTAGCAAAGATATAAAAACCTTGTTAAAGAAATGAAATAAGATAGTTTTCTTTATTTGAAATACATTAAATTAAAAGTTTTATAAGATAAAAGTTTTATGCTATATAATATTTATATATATATTGAACTAAGTCATAAAACCACCAATTATTATATACAAAAGTAGGCACTTAATACTATTATGTTTATTTAATATAATGAAAGATCTGCTAGGCGAATACCTTCACCAGAAAACGTACCCTTGTAAATGTGCTAGTACCCAATTTTCATTTTTTTATAAAGTATGTTATCATTAACGGACAGAATGTTTTCACTGTATCTATCAGTATTAACTTCATTTTTCTAATGTATTCATTACAAAATTTCAAAATTTTTCTTGTTAAAACAAAATTATAAATTCTATTATTTTATCTTATAATGAATCAAGGCACGCCATTCCCCGATTCACTCATATTATCAAACTATGATTCATTCGTGTCCAACTATTAAATTGACACAAAAAAATTAACCTTGCAATATTTCTCATATATAAAATACCGTAAAAGTAATTAACTTTTCCAGAAATTTTTTATTTACTTCTAAGATACTAAGATACTTGTACATTGCAGATACATAGCTAATGTGTTACTGCAGTTTTTATCATTGCAAAAATAAATTATTTTGTTTGATATGTCGCGAAAAATTTTCAAATACAAATCGTTTGATATATTTTTTATGTATTTACTTTTTGAAAACAAGGAAAATGGACGTAGGCGTATACGCAATTAATCTGTTTATACTAATACAGGGTATGTGGCAGATGAACATTATATTGATCGTATATATAAAGATATATTTGTACATTAATTAAAGTCTTTCTATAAGTCGTAGTAAATATATATTTCTATTAGTGGAATAACTATGGCTTCAACTACGAAAATATGAATACTATCTATGAATTTTTCAATGATATTATTTATTTAGATTTAGTGCTAATTAGCGCTTTAAATGAAAGCTCAGAATTTTTACTTGAAGTAAAAATTGATGGATAATATATTTTTGAATTCATTTACTAAACCACCTCTTAGGAATGAATGGAGAAGATTTCCACAGCATTGTGAAAACTTCATTCCAGTAATCAGGGGAGAGATGAGAAAAAATAGACTTAGTATCTGGCGAGCTAGATCTACATATCACAGGTTTTTAATTTATATAACTATCACTTACTATATTACCACTCGTTTTGAACATTGATTCTTCTTTTCTTTTAAAAAACATTATTTCAATAACAAAGCACTTTGTTAGTTCATAACAAGGATTTTATAGATTGAGTACTTTTATGGGTAAGCAATTGTCATCTGCAAATAGGGATAGCAAGTTGTTGATTTGATTTTGACTATCTGCAATGCATAAGTTGTATGGAAATGTAAATTATGCAAAACCTTATGGAACTTCATCCTCTGTATCTTTTTTCAACAAAAGTCCGTTTTCATTTTAACTATAAATTTATTGTGCCACATAAAATTTTTAAAGTGTCCTAATAACTGCATTCATTTCTGCGAGATATTCTGCTCCCTTATTCTTATTAGAAGGCCTGAGTACTATATCGAAAGATTTTTGGATGTCGAATGACATAGGACCTGTGAAATGTGCTTGTATTAATGCATAGTCTTTAAGAGGTTTTATTTTATTTTTATAATGGTTTTTATATATATTTTAATCAGATTACAGGCCAGTTTGTATCAAATAATTCAACGTTTGTTTAATATTTTTTTATTATATTCTATATTTCGACTATCCTTGAGTGTCATTATCAGGATCACGATCTAACATAAATTAATATTATTAAAACTATATATACGACATACTCTTTATTCTTTTATTTTTATTGCAATATAGGCAATAGAAAATAGAACCGTTTCAGGTAATCTCGATAAAAAAAACATAAAGTGATAAAATTTAATTAAAATGACAATGTTTCTTAAGCCAGGTTTTGTAATACAGAACAGAATATGTAATTTATCGTAGACATAAACACATTTTGTAAACTGAAATACATTTTGAGTTCTATATTATAAATGTGTTGTAAATGTGAAATCATTTGTGTTGATTTCATATTACCTAAGACATCATTATATAGAATTATGTATATATATATAAGACAAAGTATGTTAGAAAAATATAAAAAAACCGGAATCGGCATAATATCATATTATTTAATTATTGCATTTGTGATAATTATTCCAAGATAACTAAAAAGTTCTCTTACTTATGCTTACTAGTTTTTCACTCTATTAAAGGTATCCATTTAATTTTATTCATTCAATTGTTAAATAAAAAGATCTGTAATAACTAAAATAAAATTAGAAACAGAAAATAAGCCTTCTTGTAAATTTTATTCTATAAGAGTTATCAATCTCTCCATTGAATATTTTATCATAACTAAAGCTCTTAATAGTTTTGCACTTCCCATACATAATCAATTATATAGAAATTATTTGTAGTAAATTGGTGACTAAAACTCAAATAAGAGGCGCCACAATAATAAATATAAAATGCTTAAGTATATTTTCCCTTTGTTTTTTGATAAGAGGGGATTTTTTTCAGGGTAAACTTTTGTTTTAATTATAGATTAAATGGCTGAAAACGCAAAAGTAGATAAGCACAAAGCTAAATTTAACATTGTATTTTATAATCAAATTGTATGAAAATGATATGTAATGAGAAACTGATTGCAAAATGAATCACCCGTGCAGTACATCATTATATATATAAGATATTTACATATGTAAATTATACAAATAAACAATTACATACAAAATAACAATATAATTATGGAATATATAATATTTTGAGCTGACACTTATTAAAATGCAAAGAAAATCGTAACGCTGTGGCGTATGAGTGATTTTATGCAAATGACGAAGAACAGAAAATCTGTTGCTTACCTTGGAAAATCTTTTTTAGCAGTGTTGGAAATGTTTTGTTCATCTTGCTCACTGGAATGATTTTCAATTTTAATATTAATAATAGGCGTACTATCAGCGCTTATTGTTCGCCGCACACTTTCCGCTTTGCCGAAATCATCGACCCCATACTCAGCAACATTGGCATTTATATCTGTATTAGCTGATTGGAACTCTTCACCAGGTTTAGAGGATAATGTACTAGTTTCAGTTAATTCTTTTGCAATTTCTGGCACAATATATTCATTTGTTGGTGTTGTAGCGTCTTCTGCAAAATCTGTTATATCTTCGACTTCATCTTCGGATCGTTCCTCATCAATGCTGGCATGAAAAGAATTAGAACTTGTCTCGCCATTTTGTTTCAGTTTTCTATTGAAAATCGGTAACACACGTAATGGCCCCAAATGCAAACCACTATGTTGTGTATTATGGGATGTGGCTTCAGCCAGCGCTTGTAAGGATTTCGATTTATATTTGCCTGTTTTGAAAATAATACGATCCTCCGATTGCAGCGCTTCGAAGTGTAGAACTTTTTGTCGCACTGGCAATAATGCGGGTTCAGGTGTTTGTGGCTCATTTCCATCTTCAGCTGGTGGTTTCATTTTTAATAAAGATCTACGATTGAAAGCATTTTCTGTATCTGAATTAACTGAGTATGAGATTTGCAATGAACTGGAACCTTTCGAAACATTTAAATTATCATCCGTACTAGTAGTATTACTTGCATCTTTACTTTCAGTTGCGAGACTCACTGAATCAACGGAACTATGACTTTCAGTGCTGTAGCGCCGATTGGAGCCGCGACGTTTGAAGTTGCGATTGCTAAGATTTCTTTCACGTCGAAAGGGACGCGGACTATCATCGTCAGACATTTCTTGATAATATTAATACTCTGTGTTGATAGAATGTACTCAACCTTCACTTTTTTTGTTTTTATTTTGAGTTCAACACTTTGCGTTTATTTCTCACAACAACGCCTATACATTTGCGGCTTTATCTAAAACAAGTAAGGAAATATATTTTATATAATAGTTTCTCACTTGCACATTATATTTGATCTATATATTCTTATGCATTAATAAACAGAAACTAATAAATTTATTTGCATTTAAAATTCAAATATGTAAGACATTTTATCAGTAACGGAACTTGAGGTTTTTATTTATGCAATCTTATCTGCACGTTTTTATCTGATCGCTTTTCTGCTTTTATCTATTAAAACTTTTTATAAAATCTTTACTTTGATCACTTCATTCTTATCCAAATTTATTAAAATTTATTAATTTTTCTTAATGTTTTTAATTTTTTTTAATTTTTAATCATTTTCACGTTCATTTGTACACAACGGAATTCCGACACCAACTAATTAAGCTTACGAAGCTTTTATTGCATGTCGTTGTTCAGTGTCTCTTATTTTATTTTGTATTTCAATTCTTCTCGATTTGTAAATATCAGAAATTATCTTGCTTGTTTAGCAACCCACGTCACATAAATAAAAACAAAATGTTGATATTTCATAAAAGTTTGGAATAATTATAGTCATCGCTTTTTGAGCATTTTATGAGCTTTTCTCTTATAAACGCCATTAATCGAGAACTGAATATACATATTCTATAGTCTTAATATTTATATCTATGATTGATTAATTAATTCTTTTCGTCATTAATGTGACATAGGTGTGCTAAAAAAATGTAACCTTAAACGATTACATATATGATTGATACAATATAATTATCTATTTCGTAAAAACTTTATTCATTATATTTTAAAAACAGAAATTAGTGTATAGATCCTTTAATCTTGCCTAAGGTTATAGTCAATAATGAAAGCGTATCAACTAATTTTGGAATAAGGTCACTTAAATAAGAACTCTGAGTCATATATAGTACTGATTCTGATCGATTTGGCTTTATCTCTATTTACTTTCAAATCTAATGAACTATCATAAAAATAAATGTGTCGCTATCCGTTGAAGTGGCGAAAACTGGTGAAATCCTATTTTAAAACTCTATATAATAGCTGTAGCTAAGATCTAACAAACAAACTTATTAAAGTGAAACTATGATATAATTGTTCAATCTAAGATAGGAAGTTAATGTAGACATAGTAAAATGGTTGAAATTTTATAGAGCGGTTTAAAAACATATTGGGCAAATATCATAAGGTGTTACAATTAAATGCTATATTTTGGTATTTAAAATTAAATGTTAGACAACATATAAATAGCAAAATTGAAAAATAATTAAATTTTGGGATTTATTTTTAGAACGTCACGTACTAATAATCTAAGCTACCTTCACCCATTCAAGAAAGAGGTCTTAACTAGACATACCCTAGTACAGTCAACACTCTAATATTTTCTAATACTATCCATGGCCAGCAGAAAACTTATTGTTAAAAAATTGACCTGTGTCGAATCTGGTATACTTAGAAGCCATCAGGCAATCGAAATCAAGTGTAGAACATCTCAAACATATTTTTTTGACGGGAGGTATTTGTGGGGTAGTAAAATATAGTTAAACATATCACTCAATCTCAACGAAATATTTGGTTATCTACGCTTTAAGATTAAATTTCAAATCAGTTTCACATAGGTATACAAGAAAAACCAAAAAAGATCGTGGAAGCGATCGTCGACTGTCATACCTGGTTACCATTGAAACCATCACAAACAGTTATGACCGTTCTGATGTCTAAACTTTGATTTAACCTCTATGTTAAGTAAACTTGATCATAATATTTATTAATAAATTGCTCAATTAAAGAATTTTTTCTCATCAGAAAAGATAATATTTGACTTACACATAAAATTTTCTATAAAAATATACCTATATCACACAATTACACGGACAATATTTTGAATAGCAAATGCTTTTTCCGCTTATAAATCATAAAATAAATTGTCTGAGATAAAATATAGACCTAGTATTGCTACCAATTCGAAAATTTTAAGTATTTGTGGACTATTTTCAGTTCAATCGACTTTGTGTATACTTCATGTAATCAGGAGAATGGCAGAAAATAATCAAGACATCACTGAAGCAATTTTCACTACAAATGATAAAACTATGGTATATGAAATTAGATATGTATTCTAAGACGTAATGAAAACTCATCAAAAGGACCTCCAATGAAACAAAATTATTGAAATACAATCGTTTAATCATAGTTTCTAATTTGACAGGTACAAGTTCTATGCTTGGCACTTGTAATCCCACAAATTATATAGGGACTATAGACTAATTAAATAAAAATTCGAATATTTTCTAAGATCACTTATAATGAGTACTTGGCAAAACTCGAAACAGTATTATGTGGTCAATAAATTTATCAAATTTTTGTTTTATTTCTTTATTACTGTTCGAACCCTTCTAACAATCGCAATTGTTGATAAATCTTGGTTATAGCCTACTACATGAAATAAACTTATTTAGTATATCTAACATTGTTTTAGATATTAATATTTGCAGTAAATTATAGCAAAATTAATGTCTTCTGAAACAATGGAAAATATTCTAAATTCAATGAAATTATATCAGTTTCATGCTGATAAGATTAATAATAATAAAACTCTGTCGAAAACCTACTCCAACATTAAAAGAACTAAGCAAAGAATAAAAGAAACAGTCAATATATGCGTATTGACATTAGTGAATAATACTAAATAATAGTAATTACATTATTATTAATATTACATTATAAGTTGAAAGATTGCTTCAAAAAATTACTTTGCCAGAGTCAAATACAAAGTCGGTTTTTAAAAATATATTTGAGTCACATCCTAATCTATAAAAACGTTCTATATGTAAACCTTTTATTTAAGATGGAAAATTTATTATTAAACTATTAACAACAATATTTTTTAAAATATAGTTATAATATAATCGAAAACATGGTATTAGCTTTCTACTTCTTCTGCTTGGATCAAAGACATATTGTGAGCCCAAGATTTAGATAGTATCTGAAGTTAAGTGAATTAACTGTCGACTATATATATATACGAACTTTAAATTTTAAAGAGTCTATCAACAATTCTACTTATATGAAAGTATACGTATACATATATATATGTGTGTAATAGACCATATAAATATTTTAAGAAATTTTTTTCAAATATGAACCGTAAAATGATTTTATAGAAAAAATGTCAGATAAAAAAATGAAACAAAAATAAAACTCAAGTTAAGACCTTGAGGTATGTGAACGCGGTAATTGTAGACTGGCGGCTGATAACTTATATGGAGTGTTTTATGCCGCTATGTAGGTGAACCACTTGTTGTATCTGCACTTCAAAGTATTGTTTATCATTTCAGAAAAACACAATAAAGCAGCATTTCTTCTTATAATAAAAAATAAAATTCATTCTTTTTTTTCAAAAATCAGCAAAATTTTTCTTTTTAATGCATTTTTTTTGCATTCAACAAAACGAGAAGAAAAAATTTGTTAAACAAATTTAAACTTGGTTCCGGTAATGTATGGTTTCCACTTAAACCTATTTAAAATTCCAACTACTATTGCTTCGAACTATAGGTATAAGTAGTTAGGGTATACTAATCCAAATGATTAAAAAATGATTTCTTACAGAAAATCAGAGGAAAATGGATATCACAGGAAATAATACAATAGGAGAAAATTAATCTTTTAAGAATTTGGATTCTTATATAAGGTAATTTGTATAACTCTACACACTAACTATTCATAATTTTTATAAAATAAGTTTCGAACAGTAGTGAATTACAACAACAAAATTATTATTTATTTTAAATTTATTGAAAAAAATTAATTCTAAAATTTAATAATTTAAAAATAAATAAAAACACAATAGTGAACATAGTAGTGAATTGCAACAACAATATTTTTATTTATTTTTAATTAATTGAAAGAAATCAATTCAAAAAATCAATTAATTATAAATAAATAAAAATTTCGTTGTTGCAATTCACTATTGTTTAAAACCTTTCTATTAAATGCAATAGTTTATATTTAGTAATATAGTCACTGTGATCATAACTGAAGTTAAAAATAAGTTTTATATAAAAAAGTTAAGTTTATTTTAAAATTTTTAAAATAAAACATACATAGAATAGTAGCTTGAAAGTTGGTATGTCTTGAAATAACGCGCAGACATTGAGAAACCATACGATCTGTCTCTTGGTACAATATATCAATCTATCAATTGGTAGAGCTATTTTTGATTGCATTATTGATATAGTTATTCTTTAAAGCATTATATTATCAACGTTTTATATCGATCTGTAAATTGATGGATCTATATAACGTTGTATTAATAGTATTTCTTACCGACCTGTTAATTAATAGACCGATATTTTATTACTTTATATTAATAACATTTAATATCAACCTATCGATTGAGAGATCTATTTTTTACATAATCAGTAACAAAATATAAAATATAGAAATCAATTTAACAATTTGGTACATTTATCGTTTAACAGACATTTATAGGTAACAAAATTTTGCCTAAAAAATAATATATGAGAAAGGCTTTAAACTATATAGGGACCAAAGTAATAAAAAGGTCCTAATCATACAAGTGCTGTTAAAAAATCTTACATATATCATTATGCACGAAATCAGAAGAAAAATCGATCATGAATAATGATGCTTCTATCGGTAGAGAATATATGTGGCAACAATTCTTTAAAATATAATTATGTTTAATTAATTTAAAAAAAAAATTAATCACTTTTTATTAAATAAATACACGTGTTCAAACAAATGTTTTATAAATCAGAGACGATTTGTACTTGATTAAAGTACAAATTCTTCGAAAATACAGCGATTCATCAAATTCAATTCCCATTGACTATTAGGTCTTTCTAAAACTAGAACAATTATTATTATTATTTAAATAAACGACCCAAACCCGGTGAAAATAAAAAAAAACGAAGTTATGTATTTATGAACTTCTAATAATGTTAAGATTAAGAAACGCTTTTATGCATATCATGAGAAAGTTTTATATATAAACCAGCAATATTATTTATAATAATTGTTATTATTTTTAACATAAACTAGTTTAACATAACTTTGTATGCAATTTATAGTTAAATATTATATTTCTAATTTGAAAATATTAGTAGCAGCTTCTCTCACAAGTGACCCGGGTCACTTAAACCCTAAGAAATGTACCCCATGTGGTCAATTTAAAGATATAAAAACTATTTTACAAATCCATTGATATTAAATATTATATATCTTATTATATATCGCTATACTATATAATAGTATATATAATTTTTATTATTTATTATATATATTTATTTTCTATTTAGAGTACAAAATTTTTTATTTATTTATTTTATATCATATTATTATATTATACTATAATATAATATTATATTACATTATAATTATATTATTATTATTTCAGCATTTATTATTAGTGAATATTGTTATCATCATATTAGTTGATATATATGTATATATAGATATATATATACATCTGTGTTTATATATACTAGTTTAAATATATATTTATATAGCTTTTATTTAATTAAATTTTTATATATATATTAAACAAAAATATATATATCA